GCCGGGCTGCCGGGGCCCCCGCGCTCCGCCGGCCCCGCGCGCGCCTCGGCGGCCTCCTCCTCGCGGCGGCGCAGGCGGCGCAGGCAGCAGCGCTCCAGGCGCGCCTCGTCGATGCCCCAGTAGGCCAGCTCGTCGCGGAAGGCCAGGGCGCACGCGCCGCGCAGCAGCCGCAGCTTCCCGGCGCGCAGCAGCGCCACGATGGCGCGGAAGGCGCACGGGCTGCGGTCGAAGAAGAACTCGTCGCGGCTCACGTCGTAGTCGTCGCACACGCGCAGCAGCTCGTCGTGGCCGCGGCAGGCGCGGAGGCGCTCGAGGCGCGCCAGGGGACAGCGGGCCAGCGCGGCCCAGGCCAGGCGCACCCTGCAGCCGCCCACGTTGATGATGACGTGCCGGGCGCGGGCCCCGCCAACGCCGCCGCTGCCGCCGCCGCCGCCGCCAACCGGGGGCTCGGGGCCCGGGGGCTCCGCGGGCCCGGGGAGCAGGGCCATGGCCCCATGCGCCACACCAGGGTCCGGAGGCTGGGCCTGCGAAGGAAGGGAGCGCGCGTTAGGCCGTAGACCGGCCGGGAGCTCTGGGACACCCCCGCCCACGCATGACCTTGGGGCTTGGGGAGCGAACCAAACCAAGGGCTCCATCGGCCCAGCCGCTCGGTTCTCCTCTCCTGCATCCCTGACGCCTGCAGGTGGTCCGAGGAGCCCGCCCCTCAGCTTTCCAGCAGGCCCCGCTTACAAGGGACCCGCCTTAATTTCTTGCCTGGAGACTAGGGACGCGGCCAACGCGGGGCAGCACGAGGGAGGAGGGCGGGGGCCGCCCTGGAGATGCTGCCTCCCGAGATGATGGCAAGGCCAGACCTGGGGGGTTTCCGGCTGGTTAACAAGTGGGGGCCGGGGGAGGGGCTGCTACGGATGTATTGATCCTTAAGAAGCGTCAGCCAAGCTGCCAGAGCAGCCTGTGGACGTTGTTTGGATTCGGATTAGAGGGAACCCACTATAAAAAGACATGTAAGAGTAACTAAGAAAATCCCAGCACTACCTACGATTTTAAAGCCTTCTTAAAGGCATGAGACTAGTACTGCACTCGTGAAAAACAGGGTGTTTCGGCCCCTTAGAGGCCCACAGTGAGGTATTCACGTGAAATGAGGTCTGGGTCTTCATTAAGCACACCTTTCTCAAGGTGGTGTGCAGACAAAACACTTCACCTGCTGCTGGAGCCCGGTGATGGGAACACTGGGGCCATTATACTTTCTCTCTGCTTTTACATACATTTACAAACGTCCCTAATAAAAACAGGTTTGTTTTGCTTTTTAAAAGCTTCCAGATAATTCTGCTGCACAGCTGGGTTTGGGAGGCACTGATGTAGAGAAACTCACGATGCTTCGGTTGCCTTGATTCTCTAAACCAGAGGTTCTTCATTTATTGTCCATGGGAATTCTTCAGGGATCTATGAGCCTTCTAAAATTAGATGCAAACTTGTCTGTGTACACATTTTTCTAATAGAGGATCCTCAGATTCTCAAAGGGATCTGTGGCCTCAAAACTTAATGAAGCTCACAGCTCCAAACATATAAGGGAGGGAAATATCTCTGTAGTGTGGGGATTGCTAGCCTGGGTCCCCTTTAAAATATTTTGAACGTGAGTCACCCACACTAGTTTGTGGGCACGTACACTTTGGCATTCGTTGTCGGATGCCTTCTTAAGAATGCTTGGGCAGAGGTAAGATTCCAGGTGAGTTTCTTATATGAATGACTACTTGTGTTATTCTTTGACCAGGGTTCAAGAAACTCACAAAAGAAATCATATTCTTCTCAGTGAGTATCTCATCATAGCTCGTGCATAGACCAGCAACCAGAATTCCTAAATGTGTTGGTTTACTCGGCACTTGTTAAAAGGACGTGTCTCAAAATATGTTACTGAGACAAAATCATTTTTGTCCCGAATGTGGACATTTAAAGTTTTGTGGCGTATTTACCCACAATTGCACCTGACATTCCTTCCTCTGCCCAGAGCTGGGTCACCCCTTAACGTCTATGTATCTGTTTGGAAACGGGGTCCCTGACTCAGGAACCACATCAAAAAGGGTCCATAAGTAACACTGATGACTGTGTCCTTTGCAGAGACTCCCGTGGGTTCTTTTCCACGCCGCTGGAGGGCGGTTCTGTTCCTCCAAATCGTGCTCAGGATGGCCCCCCTTGACTTGTTAACACAACGGGGTCAGCGCTTTGGCATCATGCACTTCTCTGCACCGTGGCAACAGTGACAGAGCAGAGAAAACAGGCAAATACCAATCCGGGGACATAAACTCCAAAGGTCCCATTTACCAGGGAGTATATCTTAGACATTGGCTAGGCAGTAATCTGCAGGGGAGGGACAGTTCCAGTTTGGTTCTCAAAGTGTAGAGTGAGGGCCAACAGCACCAAAATTATCAAAAGAACCTGCAAAAAAAAGTATATTCCTGGCTCTACACTTAAAATTCTGAGGGACTGGAAAACTGCACAGTAAGGACCCCGAAATATCCCCCCACTAAAGCAATGAGAAAACCGGCAAAAACCATCAGAATCAACTTTTTTTGGAACTCTGGACAGTAACCAAAGGGTAGCAGCAGCCAGGGGGGAACACTTGAGTAAAAACAGCTGAGGGCTTCCCTGGTGGCGCTGTGGTTGAGAGTCCGCCTGCTGATGCAGGGGACGCGGGTTCGTGCCCCGGTCCGGGAGGATCCCACATGCCGTGGAGCGGCTGGGCCCGTGAGCCATGGCCGCTAAGCCTGCGCGTCCGGAGCCTGTGCTCCGCAGCGGGAGAGGCCACAACAGCGAGAGGCCCGCGTACCGCAAAGAAAAAAAGTGAGCTCTTAGCAGTTTATTTAACCTGCTTCTCAGCTCAGCGTTCGCCTTGAAGATGACAGCCTGCGTTCCTGGTACCAGGACTGGTACTGGAAGAGGAGAGTGGACCCGATTCAGGAGGAACCGTAATTATTTGGACCCTTCTGGTGGCTCCCCCGAAAGACCCGTCAGAAGGCTTGCCTGTACCTCCCCTAGCTCGGGGCTCTCCCAGGGCTAAAGCGGCCACCCGGGCAGCTTGTGGAATCACTTACACGAGAGTGTTTGCTGAGGCAATGGATGAACATTATTGTTGGGGCAAAAAATAGACTAACCAGAAAGCTTGGGAGAAGAGGCTGGGGAGTGAGACTCTTTGGAAATGCTCCAACACACTGCTCGAAATCTGGAATGCTGCTCACGCGCCTGGGGCCATGTGCGCGCTCAGGAGAGACCTGAGAAGGCCCTACGCTCTCCCCCCGCCCCGCCCCCAGCAGACTGCACAAGCAGGAGGCGAAAGGGGGAGGCAAGGGACAGGCCTGCTGGGTGTTGAGGGTGCCCTGACACACAGGGCCCGTCTGCAAAGACTGGTCTGTTTTTGTTTTTGTTCCAGGCATGTGAGAATCTCTGTCCAGTCACTTGCTGACCATTAAGCTAATGGGACAGAGATATCAGTGGCCACACAAGACAAAAACATACAGACTTTGCCTAATTCGTCCAGAAAAGTCAAACAAACAACAGCAATTACAGCAAACCCTGGGGAGCGGAAGAATCTGATTAGAAGAACACAGGAGTAAATCTTCATGGCCTTGGAGTAGGCAATGGGTTCTGAAATACAACAGAAGCATAAGCAACAAAAGGAAAATAAATAAACTGGGCTTTGTCATACTTAGACTCTTTTGTGCATTAAAGGACATTATCAAGAGAATGAAATGATAGCTCATGGGATGAGAAAAAGTTTACAAATCATATATCTGATAAGGGTCTAGTGTCCAGAATACATAAAGGGCTCCTACAACTCAAAAACAAAAAAGACAAACAACCCAATTAAAACGTGGGCAGAGGATTTGAAGGACTTCTCCAAAGAAGATACAAAAATGGCTAATAGACACTTGAAAAGATGCTCAGTGTGATCGGTCATCAGGAAAACGCTAATCAAAACGACTTGGTACGACTTTACGTCCACCAGCTTGGCGGCGACCAAACAAATGGAGAGAGGAGTGTCGGCAAGGGCGTGGGGGACTCAGGAGCCCGCACTCTGCTGGTGGGGGTGAGACATGGTGCGGCTGCTGTGAGCAGCTGGGCAGCTCCTCAGAAAGGTACACGCAGGCTTGCCGTGGCATCCGGCAGTGTCACTCCAAGAGAACTGAAAGCCTAGGTCCACGCAAAAACGTGTACGTGAATATTCACAGCAGCATTATTTACAACAGCCAAAATGTGGGAACAACACAACTGTCCATCAGCTGACCAATGGATAAGTAAATGTGCTCCATCTACATACTGGGACACAATCAACCACAAAAAGGAATGAAGTGCTGACACAGGACACAGCACGGATGGATGTTGAAAACATGGTGTAAGTGGAAGAGGCCGGACAGAAGGGAACTGTCCAGAGCAGGCAAATCTGCAGAGACAGAAGGTAGGTTAGTGGTTGCCAGGGGCTGGGGGCTGGGGGAGGAGGAGTGACCGATTAATGGTGACAGGGTTTCTTTTGTCGTCATGAGGATGCTCTGGCATTAGGTAGTGGTGAGGGTTAAAATACTAAAAACACTGAATTGTACACATTAAAATGGACATTATCATTTCAATTTAAAAAAAATTGACATCTGGTTCTGTGCCTGTCAATGAGCAGGTGTAGTGCACTAAAGCCCGAGAACCACTGCTTCAACTGCCAAAATCAAGACCTTTCATTGTCGTTAAGGATTTGCTGCTCTAACCGCTGCCAGGCAAACCTACCACCAGGGCGACTCACGAACCGTAAAGCGGGGGGCGCCCAAGGGGTGTTCGGCATGCAGCCCGGATGCCTCACTGGTCCTGAGATTTGGGAGGGGGAGAAAACCAAATAGAAGGGGCCGTGGGGAAAGAGCCAGCATGCCTGCCCAGTCACTGCAGGATTTGAGGGCGAAGGCGCTCCGGGCTCAGCTGTGTTGCTGATGCCTCGGGGTCGGCGTTTCATGCAGCAAACGTCAGTAACATCGGCTGGTGCTAGACACGTGATGCTGGAGCTCATGGCGGTGGGGGTGGGGGGCGGAGCCGGGGGCGCGAGGACGACCGGCACTTCCAACGCTGCGAGGCTGGCTCTGCGCAGAGGAGAGGCTGCCCTGAGGGCTTTGCAGGCTCGCCGACCCGGCAGGAGGTTGGGGAAATCTGAGGAGGTTATGCTGAGGAGGAAGATCCTACTTTCCTCAGACGCAGTCAGTTGTTTAGGTCGCGGACACTTGTTGCAGAGATCCCCCAAGCTGCCGCTTCTCATCGAGGACGCAGGGACAGCGGCTCGGAGTTCCACATCAAGGATGCCAGCGGCTCACGGCCGACCTCCTTCCCAGGCAGCTGGGAGGAGGACTCAGCATGTGCCCAGGAGGCAGGCGGGGGTCCTCACGGGGGGCGCCCCACTCTCTGGAGCCGTGCGAGGCCACCGGGAAGGATGGAGCCTCCAGGGCAGGCTCACAAGTTTCTGGGCTGAGGCCGAGGTGTGCCCGAGAGAAAGTGCCACGTG